AGTTATGAAAGTATATGATTTGTAATAACAGTCAATAAAGAAAATGTGAAAAAATACTGTGATTTTAGTGAAGGTATTACTTGTTGTTGTAGCCACTACAACAATAAAGTATTACTGAATTTCAGTGCATTTTGAGCTTTAGCTGCGTAGTTGCTTTTACAAGAGAAATGTCAAAATCGGCAAAACCAAAGCAGAGGTTCGCGGGATGCCTCACCCTCTATTCGCTAAATCCTGCACAAAAACTACACTAAGGGCCGTTTTCACCATCTCTGGTTAACACTAATCCCCAGTTAAACCAAAGAACGTAGATAACATGAAGGGACAACTCGTTATAATCGTAGCGAAAGTGAGTAACAGGGGCGTTCCTTCTCTTTTGCTCTAGAACGTTTTTTAATTGGATGAAAAGAGATGGCACGTCCCTGTTACTCACACAATTATAACGAGCTGTCCCTTAGGGCCGGTTGTTCAATGTCTGATTAGCACAAATCGGAGGTAGAAGCTCCGGTTAAGCACAACTACTGCTTTATCGATCACATGTTACATGCATGATGTCGAAATCCTCGATAGCGTAGTGGTAGTGATAACCAGACATTGAACAACCGGCCCTTATTGTTATCTACGTTCTTTGGTTAAACATTGTTACCGGCGTTACCGACGCAATGTTAATTGAATGGGGTCAGTACCGTCGGTAACGATGTTTAACTGGGGATTAATGTTAACCAGAGATGGTGAAAACGGCCCTAAGGCTTTCTGCTCATTGGTAGTCCAATCATAGTTGCTTCAGTGTCACAATAATGATGCAACGATTACATGACGATTAAGGCCCGTCCACATAGCTTAAAGTTGGCAACGCTAACGGCAACACAACGCCTGAAAGATGGCCAACTCTCAAGGCCTGTTTACATACAACTTTGGCGTTGCGTTGGCGTTGGTGTCGTTTCGACAGCTGACTATGAACACGTGCATTTATATGAAAGTCTACACATAACCATTGGGCAACGCCTATGCCAACTCAGAGCAGAAAGAGGCCAACTCTCAAATTTTCACGCGCGTCGTTCGCCAGCTGTGCAAAATAATCAAAATTATGTGATTTAATTTTCCTTTTTAATCAAATGCAAATTGATTTATCTACCGTAAACGTTTAAAGGACTACGATTTGAGGGCATGCACCTGGAATGTCTGGACCCTTAATTAGGAAGGTACCTCTGCCCGGCTGGTTGATTTCCTCGGGAGGACAAAAGCTGACTTCACCCCCATCCAAGAAATGCGTTGGATAGGGCAAGGCAAGCAATGTCTTGGGCCTTGCCACGTCTACTACAGCTGCCATGTAAAGGAGCGCAAATTCAGAGTTGGATTTGTGGTGGGAGACGAGTACTGTCGTTCACCACGGTGGACAAGCGTCTAGCCACAATCCACATCAAAGCGAGATTCTTCAATATCTCCCTCATCTGCGCCCATGCCCCGACGGAAGAGAAGGATGAGGCATCCCAGGAGCTCTTCTACGGGCGCTTGGAGCGCACGTTCAAGCGCTGCCCCCGTCTGTGGAACCACCGTCGGAAAATTCAGCCTCCACGACGAAACGTCCGACAACGGATTGAGGCTGATCGACTTCGCCGGGGTCCGAAACATGGGAGTATGCAGTACTTAAGTTCAAGCATAAAAAGATCCATCAAGCTACGTGGCTGTCTCCGGATAGAAAAACGAGAAACCAAATCGATCATGTTGTGATAGACGGAAGGCACGCTTCCAGCGTTATGAACGTAAAAACACTCCGAGGGCCAAACATCGACTCGGACCACTATCTTGTTGTAGCCAAGATACGCACCCGCCTCTGTGCAGCAAGAAATGTGCGCCCAAATATGCAAGGAAAGCTTAACGTCGAAAAGCTGTAATCACAGCGGACAGCCAATTCATTCGCTACTCGACTCTCACACCTGTTCTCAGAGAGCACTCTTCAACAAACCGACATATGCGAGCAGTGGAACCACATTTCCCGCTCATTATGTACCGCCGCCGAAGATGTCAGATTTTAGCGAGCCCGAAAGAACAACTGGTACGATGAGGAGTGTCAGGAAGCTACAGAGAAAAAAGATGCCGCCTACAGGGCCACGCTGCGATCGGGCGCAATACGCATTATGTGGGACCGCTATAGGGATCTGAAGAAGGAAGCAAGACTATTTGCCGCAATAAGAAGAGAGAGGCAGAAATACGTGAGTGCGAAGAGCTTGAAATGCTGGCCGACAGGAGGAATGCCCGAGAATTTTACCAGAGAGTTAGGCGACTTACGGAAGGTTTAATGACCGGGGCGCACTCCTGTAAGAACAATAATGGCGACCAAGTAACTGATGTCCAGAGCGTACTTAAATTATGGAGGGAACACTTTTAGGCCCTACTAAATGGTAGCAGCACGGAAAGTTGTGGAGAAGAAGAACCCGAGCCCGCAGTCGATGATGACGGAGTCGACGTTCCACCGCCTGACTATGACGAGGTACGAATAGCAATAACGCGGCTGAAAAACAACAAAGCTGTAGGAGCTGATAGCCTGCCAGCTTAGCTATTCAAGTACGGCCCAGCTCTGAAACTATTCAACTTGGAGCCCGCTGGTGGTAGCAGAGGAAGAGGGAGGCCCCCACTCTAATGGAAAGATCAGGTGGAGAAGGACTTGGCTTCACTTGGCGTTTCCAATTGGCGTCAGCTGGCACAGAAGAGAAACGCATGATACAAAAAAGAAGGTAGTTTCAATAAACAACTTTTTGATTAAAAAGGAGATTTTTGACAAATGCAACGAATATGCAAATGTAAGAGCATACGCACAAGATCCTGGACAGCTCTTACGTGAAATATTTTTTTCTTTTTAATCAAATACGAGAAAGAAATATTTTTAATCATGCAATTATCGATATAAAATACGACAGTCAATTGGTATTTTCAGAGCTCGCAAATTACTGTTCACACTTGCGAAGTGTTCGAAAAATACAGTTGAATTTTGGCAATTCTTTTTGTTGAAAACGTTGCTCAGTTTCTCCATACAAAAAAATTGTCGAACAAGAAATTGCCAAAAAATTAACCTAGCTACTCCCAACTTGCATTTTATTGTACTAAAATTTATTATGCCACAAAAAAAGAGATTTAAAATTTTTATGAACATTTCGCTAATTTTTGCTCAAATTTCTTTATTCCATGTACGCAAACATATATACATATGTTCATATACACATATTTAAATTTAACTATTTTCACAAACTTAACTCTTTTTAATACATATATGCGTCATATTTAGAACAAGTGGTTAATTTTGCCTTAATGTATCTACATACATACATATGTACATATGTTTGTGAAAATCAGGCAAAACTGCATTGCACACTGCGTTATTTCGATAACAAAGTATGCGTTAAAAAGAATCTCGGTTAAAAAACCTTAGCTTACATTCTACATACATACATATGTACACAGATATATGTGACCTGGTCTACGGAAAGGGGGCTTAGGTGTCAAAAAATCAATTTTCATTTTTTGGTTGATTCGGATGGAAGATGAGATGCTTTTTCACGTGGTGAAAAGCAGAAAATCCTAACTTGCTTAGAAGTGTACTAAAAATGTAGAGAAAGAAAGGTAAAAATACGACAAAATATAATTTATTGGTAATGAACAAAATACATTGAATTATAAGCTATAAAGACATGATTATACACTAGAAAAACGTATTATGGGCCAAAAATAATAATGCTGAGTAGTTTATGTACTCTGTGCACTGAACTCCTCACCAACACTCATGTTTCATTTCATGCGAAATGCGAAGACGATAATCAACAGAAACAGTAAACGTCACTTCTTCAGTGTTACTTTTTTAAATGTTCCACACTAGCAACTTACACGATGAACTATAATAATATTCCGACCAACAACAACACTTACTGGACCAACAACAACACTTACTGGACGTCCGGCGCGGAGAACAATTAACGAGATAATGAGAAACTGACGAAACGAGTTGCTTACTTTTAACAGCTTTTTCACAGAAAACTAGTTTTCGCACGTAA